TGGTCCGCACCTCACCCCCTGTGGGGGTATCGCGGCACCTAGCCTAACCGTGTCGTACCGCAGTACAATACCGGCTCAGTGGTCCCCCTTCCTCCCCCCAAGTGGCCCCCTCTCCCACCCCATATTGTCGCCACATCCCCCCGCTCGCACATCCCGCTGAAAACACACACGCACTCGCAGGACCCCCTACAGCGGCTACACACGCTTCACAACCTCGCCCAGATGATGGCCATAGCTGCCTCGGCTTCCGCACCCGCCGCGCTGGCCGCCGTACCCCGCACGCTCCGAGACCACACCCTGGCGGAGGACGCTGCCGCCATCCGCAGCCGCTACCTGGAGCAGCGGACGCAGCGGCTGGTTTCACAGGAGGTACGTGTGTGTGTGTGTGTGTGTGGACGTTATTGTTATTAGTACTAGGAGTAGGAGTAGGAGTAGGAGTAGGAGTAAGACAGGAGTTGTAGTGGTCAGCAGTGGTGTGTGTGTGTGTGTGTGTGTGTGTGTGTGTGTGTGTGTGTGTGTGTGTGTGAGGGTGGTTGCGGGGAAGGCGGTGGGGACCAGCCACAGGAGGACGGAGGGGAGGGTGCAGTCAACGAATGAATGCGGGAGGTCGGGGAGCGGGTGGGGGTGATGGTGTATGTATGAATGTGTATGTGTGTATGTATGTGTGTGTGCGTGAGTGCAGGCGGAGTACAAGGAGCTGGTTTCCGCATCGTCGCCCTTCCACGGGGCTTCCGGCTGGTGAGGGGGGAAGGTGGGGCTGTAGGGTGCGCACACACTGTAGCTCCGGTATAATACAGACAGACAGATAGACAGACAGGCATGCATGCATGCATACATGGATACATACATATACAGCAGTTGACCCTCATGCACATGTACGGCATTTCCCCCCCCGGCCCCCCCTCAGGTACCTGGCGGCTATAGACCTGCTGGTGGCGGCCGGCCATGGTCCGTCGGCAGTGGCCCTCATCGGAGAGAAGCTTCTGGAGGGAGATACATACCGACAGAAGGTGATGCCAACGGGGGGTGGGGGGGAGGTACCCGGCACGTGACCACTCCACCACCCCGGCTGGAGTTAAGTGATGCGCTACCCGCTGATAGACACTTTCGTGCACTGTTCTTCCCGAGCTCATTCCGGCTCCACGCCAACCCCCCATACCAGCAGCACTGCTGCCGACCCCCCAACCCATGTTTGCAATTTTCCGTTTTGGCGGTGCAACACCCCCATGCTACTACACATTACACACCACGAACAGACCTTCCTACCCAACTCTATCGCAAGCCACAATCCCCTCCACATACATTTTATATCCTTCATTTCATGCGCAAGTGTCCCACAACCACCTTGCGTCGTACACAACAGCATCGTACACAGCAGTACATCCAAAACACTGGATAGACACATCCGCCCGGCCGAGGCCCCACCGCGGGCCATCACCGTCTCTTCGTCATGCAGGTCTAGTTCACATGCGGGTTCGACCCATCAGCAGTAACGCACACACGCAGAAGTAAAACAAAACGTCGGTCTAGTTGAAAGCCTTCCAACGCGGTGTGAATGCGTTATTGAGGCCCTCTTCCACCTCTCGATTCTTTGATTCGAACAGGTCAGCTCCCTCTCACCCTGACCGCCTCATCCTCCCCACCCTGCTGCTACTGCTGCTGCTGCTGCTGTTGCTGCTGCTGCTGCTGCTGAGTCCTCACTTGGCTGGATGAGCACTCCACACACACACAACCCATCCCCGTTGGAGCCGAGTCTCGAGAGCTCTACCCCCTTCCTCCACCCCGCAACCCTCCACCCGCCCCCAACCACAGACCGAAGTTAACGCCAGCAGTTTGGCCCTCAGGCTCACTTCGCTGTTGGGGCTCAAGGTAGGCACAGAGGGAGGGGGGAAAGGGGGAGGCAGGAGGCAGGAGGGGGCCTCCTGGGGGGTACAGGGGCAGCCACACGTCCCCTCGCGGTCTTCACTCGTTCGTGGTTACGTCTTTCCCGCCGCGGTCACGGTGGCGTCATCACCGTACGTACGGGGAATGGGGCCCATCCTGAGGGGGCACCCTTGTAATGCACCTACCTGTCTTGCACCTGCCCTGGGGGTATATGGGCCGGTGGTGGTGGCGGTGGCGGTGGCGGTGGCGGTGGCGGTGGCGGTGGCGTACAATACGGGCCTGTCAATGTGTTTTAGTTCGGGTCCCGTCCTCCCTACGGGGGTCGCTTCCTTCCGCGCTGCATGCGACGTAGGTACTGCTGAACGACATCCTGGACTCCCTGGAGGAGCACCGGGCGGCGGCGATGACGGCGCTGGAGGACCTGGGCGCCCGGACCCGGCTGAGCCAGCCGCCACCCGAGCTGGTCGAGCTGGTGAGGGGACGACCACCCCGGGGCGCCCGGCACAGTCCACCCGGGGGGCTGCTGTTGGCTGCTGTTGGCTGCTGTTCTACTCTATTGGGGGCTCGTCCATGGCCCGGTCAGGGCGGGGGCAGGGCAAGGGCCGGGGTGGACGGATTTTAAATATTGCGGCATCATCCCCCCTCTATTTCCCTTCATGTCTCCAACTACTCTCCTGCAGCTTTACATCCTCTCCCCTCTCCCCTCCTTTCCCCTCCCTTCACACAGCTGCCGAACACAACCCCACAGACCAGCAGCCGCCGCCGCTTCATCCCATCATAACATCTCACCCCACCCCACCCCACCCCACCCCACCTCCCACCCCACCCCACGCCACGCCACCTCCCACCCCACGCCACGCCACCTCCCACCGCCAGGCGGGGCAGTGCGGGCGCTGCCGCGGCGGCCCGGTACGTGCGCTGGTGTGCGAGCACTGCCGCCTGGACGAGCGGTTCATCCAGTGGCAGGTGCGGCTGTTCGCGCTGTACTCGCGGGCGCTGACGGCGGGTGCCACGGTGACGGCGGAGGAGGCGGCGCGGCGGGCCCAGACGGCCATGGTGCGGTGGGCTGGGCGGGGGGGCCTACACGAGGACCTGGGAGCTGCGGAGGATGAGGAGCTCCTGGCGGGGGAAGGAGGTGAGCCGGGGGGTGGGTGGGGAGAGTGGCGGGG